CTAGAGGGCCAGGCATTGGTGGTACATGCCTTTAATCCCAGCACTCGGGAGGCAGAGGCAGGCGGATCTCTGTGAGTTCCAGGCCAGCCTGGTCTACAGAGCGAGTTCCAGTATAGTCTCCAAAATAATACAGAGAAACCCTGTCTCAAAAAACAAAAACAACAACAACAACAACAAAAATAGTCCCGGGGGCTGGAGAGATGGCACAGAGGTTAAGAGCACTGACTGCTCTTCCAGGATCTTGAGTTCAATTCCCAGCAACCACATGGTGGCTGGTGTATATGTAATAAATAAATAAATCTTAAAAAAAATAGTCCCTAGAGAGGAGCCAGTGGAGTGTGACTTCCCACCCAGGGTACATGTGCATCCTCTACAGGACTTGTCTATGCTCGGTCAAGGCTGGCACAGCCAGGGCATAAGTGTGCATAAGCTTGTCAAGTCTGCTGCACGGCCTGTGTCCGAGAACGTGCGGAGGGTGTCGGGTATTGAAAACACAGAGACTCGTTCAATGATATAAAGAGAACTTTAAACAGGCTCCAAAAAGGTTCAAGAAAAACTTCCTAAGAAAAGCTCCCACCAGAGAAGCTTCTGCTCTCTCCTCTACCCTGGCTGGTTCTGCTCTGACACCAGAGGTGGATGTGTGTGGGTTTTTGAAGGTGCGGTTAGTCTCTGGACAAGGTCGAGGTCAGGGCGGTTTCTGTGGGAAGGCCTTTCCCAGGAACTTATTGTATCATTTTTAGTAAACATGTTTTTACTAAACATTGTCTTACAGCTGCCTACTCCCAGGCAGAAGGGGAAGTGGCCAGGAACTTATTGTATCGTTTTTAGTAAACATGTTTTTACTAAACATTGTCTTACAGCTGCCTACTCCCAGGCAGAAGGGGAAGTGGGTCTCTGCTCAAGGTCTGGTGTTCCCACAAAGCTCAGGGTAGCTTTCCTGGGAAATGATCTCCATGTAGCAAGTTATCTCAAGAGGGTCTAGAAGCAACCAGAAACTTCTACAGTCATGGACAGGAGGGTGAGTTTCAGAAACTACAAAGGTGAGTTTTGGAAACTACAGAGGATCACTCTGACACGGAGCTTAAGAGGACAAGGAGGATGAGCGAACCTAAGACCCACCCTGCCTCTACCTAGCAGCCTTCCCACACCCATAATGTCGTCTGTGCATTCACGAATGATTCAGTTCACTGGGGAAGAGGGACTCTTGTGAGTTTAGGTTCCGGACTCAATACACCCAATAGGCTCACTAAAGATAAACAAAAAGGGTAGAGCATCTTTCCCTAAAGTCACTCGCATGCTGTGGGCAGCTCACGGTGTCACAGCTTCTTTCCTGTTCTGCCGTGGGATATTATTTTAAGGTGTGGTACATTCATTTATGCTGTGGAACATTTGTTTAAGATGCAAAGATGTGTTGTTTAACTCTGTGAAGCTGTGTTACTTTGCCTGCCTAAAACACCTGATTGGTCTAATAAAGAGCCAATAGCTAGGAAGGAGAAAGTATGGGCGGGGCTGGCAAGGAGGGGTAGTATGAAGAGGAGTGAGAAGAAGGAGGATAGAGAAAAGGAGGAGGAGAGGAGGACACCAGGGGCCAGTCACACAACCAGTCACTGAGAAAGAAGGAAAGAAAGGTGTATATAATACAGAAAGGTAAAACTCTAGAGACTAAAGGTAGATGGGATCATTTAAGTTAAGAAAAGTTGGCTAGAAATAAGGTAATCTATGGCATTCATAAGTAAGAATAAGACTCCATGTATTTATTTGGGAGCTGAGCCCCCAAAGTGGGGAAAAACCACTACGCTGTTGAACACCCTTGATCATGCTCTTCCCCTGGCTGGAATGTCTGTCTCTATTCAACGCAGCCAGTCACCTGGCCCACAGACCTCTCTTCCCTGGAGCCTCAGCTTACAGTGGCCTTGACTCCCTATCACGTTGTGTGAGGGGGTGAAGCAGAACAGTCCTGGGGGAGACAACGGGAGAGGCAACCCCGAGTCCGAATGCAGCTGTCACGGTGTGATCCCCACAAATGTGCTTACTTTCTCCGATCCTTGGTCTCCTTGTGTGTTAATGCCAGTAGACAGTTAGCCAGCGGGGCTGCCATAGGATGAGCATAGGTGGAGGGACAAGCGGATGTGCGACCCACATGGTGCTCCCAGCAGGATCTCTGGATGGGCTGGTGGTAGCTGAAGGTGTTGAGCAGAACGAGATCAAGGTGCGCTGCTGTTGGTTGACAGCACATTTCACCTTAGCCAATTAGGTCACAGCTACCCGCCTGTGGGGCACAGCCTCCTTCCTCTGCACCATCAGTGGCACACCCTGGCCACAGACACAGACGCAAGGTAGGGAAGAGTCTCCCTCACCAAGAAGAGGCCACTTACCTCTGAAGAGGCTCTGTGCCTGGTGATGACTTGGCAGTCCTGTTCCTGCCACCACCTATGCCCTCTCAGGTACTGCCATGCCCTGTGTGACAGTGTTGACAGTACTGTCCCCATGGCTGTGGATCCTGCAAACCTCATTTTTTTTGTGGAGCTCAATACTATTGACAGGCATGACGTCTCCTATGGGGTATGAAGGGTCCTGGGACCCACGTGTCCCTGAATCACAGCATTTTCTGTCTAGAAAGCCACACCCTCACCCTGAGGATTGAAAGACAATTTTTAAAAAATATTTTATTATTATTTAATATGTGTGGGAGCTTTGCCTGGGTGTATGTCTGCGCACCGCGTGCATGTAGTACTCACAGGGGCCAGAGAGGACGTCAGATCCCCTGGAAATAGAGTTTACAGATGACTGTGAGTTACCGCGTAGGTGCTGGATATTTGAACCCCTGTCCTCTGGAAGGGTTAGCTAGCATCTTCACTGCTGAGCCATCTCTCCAGTTCCAAGGCAACTTTCAGACTTTACCTATTTTCATTTATGTGAGTGAGTGTGAGTGTGTGAGAGTGTGAGTGTGTGCATGTGTGTGTGAGAATGTGTATGTGTGAGTGTGTGTGAGTGTGTGTGTGTGAAGGTCCCTTTCACAGGGAGAAACCAAGGGCCAAGTTGAGACTGGAGTAGCTAAGCTGGCTGCAGGCACACATGAAGAGGTGTCCTTCTTAGCAATGGTAGCCTCCCTCCTCTCCGCTGTCTTGGCCTTGCCCCTGATCCAAAGGCTCTGGGTATCTGTATAGTTCACAGGAGAGCTGTGACGGGGAGCACTGGCCTCTGTATGAAGAGCACTTAAACTTCCTTATAAAGTGTACATCCCTCCAAAAAAGACAGAATAACAGAATAGTCAGCCTTCCTGGCTCCTCAGACATGATTGATCTTCCCAGCATCTTGAAGCACGGGCCTGCCTCTAACTCACTCCTGCCTCATGGTACATGGTACAGGAAGTGGAAGTCTGCAGGGCCTATCTGTAGCATTTGAATTTAATTTTATTATGTATACAGTGTTCTGTCTCCATGTTGCCTGCATGCCAGAGAGGTCATCAGAATGTATTATAGATGATTGTGAGCCACCATCTGGTTGCTAGGAATTGAACTCGGGACCTCTGGAAAAGCAGCCAGTGCTCTTAACCACTGAGCCATCTCTCCAGCCCCAGCACTTGCTTTTTCTGAGCTGAATTCCCAACGCTGTATCTGGGGACCTGTCCTGAGTAGATAGCACCTGACCCAGTTTTCCTGCTGCCCTGAGGGCCTGGTGCAGTCTTGCAGGATCCCTGTGTGGCCACCAGGGGGCAGGCACAGAAGGCTTCTGCAGTGAGTATGAGAGTGAACCTTGGGGATTAGATGGGTTAGCTCTAGCCCCAGACATGGGAACTACCTTAGGGAGCCAGAAAATGCCTATCATTCCTTGTTACTTTTCTTGGTTCATTTCCAGAAACTAGACCATTGTGGTGTCTTGAATGAGCATGGCCCCCACAGGATCATATGTTTGAATGCTTGATCCACAGTGAATGGAACTGTTTGGGAAGGATTAGGAGCTATGGTCTTATTGGAGAAGGTGTGATACCTGGTGTAAGACCACCCCAGTCTCTCACTCTCTGCCTGTTGCCTGTGGATCAGAACGCAAAGCTCTCAGCTGCTACTTCAGCACCATAATGATCATGAACTAACCCTCTAAAACTGTAAGCAAGCCCCAATTAAATGTTTCATTTCATTTTATAAGAGTTGCTTTGGTCACGGTGTCTTCTCACGGCAATAGAACAGTGACTAAGACAACCATGAAAAGCGGCTCCAGGGTAGGTCTCAGTCCTCCGAGAGTCTGGGTAAGCCAGCCTGGTTACTCGGCATCCTCTGCATCCAGGTGCAGGGAACTGCTGGCCACAGATTCCAGCTTCCTTGGAGCGTTGCTGGCACCGGCTGGTGTCTATTTACCCGGGGATGGTGTTCCTGAGAGCTGCTTGGCTGCACCACGTCCAGGGGGAAAAAACAAGCAACAGCTTGCTGGGCCACTGGGTCCTATGCGCTCCACACAGCCAGCAGTCTGGCCAGCCTTCTCCTGGAGGTAACACGGCACGTGGCTTCCTCGTGGACTTTGTCCCAACATCCCCCCTCTTTCAGGTCCCCTGGACCTCATCCTAAGCACCCATTGTGGTGTCTACAGGTAAGACTCCTTTGACCCTGATTCCTGGGACCTCTCTGGGCGTAGAAACCCTACCTGCTGCTGCTTTCCGGAGGCTTGGGGCTAACCCCCCAGCTCCTGGACACAAATGCCTTCCTTTCTGACCAACATCGTGTGGGTGCCCATAGAATCAGTCTCCTGTGTCCTTCATCCTTCCCCAAGAGCCTCAACTTCAGGGTGTGGCTGCCTCCACGGAGTGGATCAGTTTGCCGTGGGCCCTAGAGCTGGGCAGCTGTCCAGAGCCAGGCCTGCCTTCCTGCCTTTTCACTTACTTCCCTGCCTCCCCCAAGCACAGGCATACCCCTTTAAGCAAATCCTGACCCACAGCCTTTTTGTCCTGAAGCCCCCTACCCAGCAAACTTTCCCTGCCAACACTGTACCACAGGAGAAGCTGTTTTGTTCCTCCTGAATCCACTGGAGACTCGATGGATGGCCGGGCACCTCGCCCTTCCTGCTTCTTCCTTCTCTCCTTCCCCACCCCCACCCCCACACTCTCTGCACCAACAGACTCTTTTACCGGACTTACCTACCGGGAGAAGCAGAGAAGGAGAAGTGTGTGGCAACTCCCCCCCAGTGAGAGGCACAGCCGGCACCATGGAGGCCCCAAGGAAAAGCTGCTGGTGACCTGGGGCCCAGGCCTGAGCACTATGGGACTTGCGGAGCCAGAGGCGGGTAAAATGCTTTCCAACAGGGAAGGGGTATAGTAAGATAAAGGACAGGTGTGGGACCTGAGGTGGGGGTGGGGATGGGTGGTGGACCTGGGAGGGGGGAGGGAGGGAGGATCTCCACTCACCTTCAGTGGGAAAGAAAAGTGTAAGCTAAACTCCAAAATGACGTAGAGCGTATCTGAGGCCAAGGCAGATGAGTCTAGGGATCCTCATTCCATGCTAGCCCCTCAACAGTGGTGCTGCCTTTGGGACAATCTGGGTCATTTGAGCATCAGTAGTGGTAACCTGGGAAGAGGGACACTCTTGACTTGGGAAGGAAGGGATCCTTTAGTCTTGCCTGAGAGCGGCTGGCTGTTGAATGGAACCGAACATCGGCTGGGAGCCGCCACCAGCCAGAGTTATCGCCATCTTTACTAAAGTTGCAGTCACTCCAGGGCCATTCCAGATCCCGAGTGTCTACAACTACCACAGGGTAGCCGGTTTCCTTAGTGGCAAAGATTATGGTGCGGGGGAGGTAGGCTACTTCCAAGGACTCTTGATAAGAGAGCAGACGGAGTGGAGGGGGGGGGTGAGAGTCCCATGGTGACAGAGACTACGTTTGGCCTTAGCTGTCTGTTCCAGGGCTCTGCACAGAGCAGTACTGAATGGAAGGACCTTAGTTAGAGCCAGGCAAGGGCTGCTGTCAATGAAACCCCAATGGAAAAGCAAAAGCAAACAAAAAAAGTAAGTGCTGTCGCTCTGCCTTTCCGTCCTCTCTAGTTGGGCAGTCACAAGTGACCCTGCTTCCTGCGCTCAATGGGAGTGACCCAAGATACCGCAATGTGGATGGTCACTGGCCGGAGATCCCAGAGAGGTCGCCATGTGTGGCTGGAAACATCCCTGTCATATATTACAGTGTCCTGCTGAGCCTAGGACTGCCTGGTGAGTGTGGAGTCAGGGTCTGGGACTTCAGACTGAGCCAGAGCAAGGGCCCTCCTCCATTCGGTCCAGATTCTCTCGAGATGGCTCAACCACAGAGGATCGGTGCAGCACTGTCACGGCCCCTGTGTAACTGTGCAGAGTGGAGCCAGAGAAGGGGACAGTGTACTGATGTAGGAAAGGCCGGTGGCCTTGTTCTGGGGTCATACCCTAAGTCTAGTCACCTGGCTCCCAGGACACCTCTGCTCTGAAGGGCATAAAACCCGTGAGAAAGACACAGGCTGGAATGCCAGCGTGTGGATGCCCACCTAGATGAGTCCATCTATTACCAAGGAGATCCATGGCCCGGGGTAAAACAGGGCAAGCCTGAACAGATCGCCCAGCTTGCCAGTAAGCTTTGTTGTCATTTGACTTGGTTCTGTGCGTAATGGGGACAGAACCCAGGACCTGTGGCATGCTAGGCAAGTGATCTGTCACTTATTCTTCCAAGCCACTGGAGGGCTTTCGGTGGCTCAGCTGGTTGGGTGTTTGTCTAGCCTGCACAAAGCCCTGGGCTTGATCCCAGCACCACATAAACTGGGCTTAGTGGTGCACACATGTAATCTCAGTGCTTGGGAGACAGGCAGGAGGACAGAGGTTCAAGGCCATCCTCAACTCTATAGGAAGTTTGAGACCAGCTGGATCTGGGGAGGCAGAAACAGGAAGTGCAGGGCCTACCAGGCTACCACATGAGTTCCAGGTCAACCTCGGCAACTTAAAGAGACCCTGTCTCAAAATACAAAGTAAAAGAGAAGGCTGCTGGACTAAGGATGTACTACAGTAGTATACAGCACTTGCTTGGCTGCAGGGAGAGGTAAAGAGGGAACTAGAAACAGCATAGCACTGTCCCTCGCAAAGGCAGATCAGAAGGACCATGCAAACCTCTTGAGAAGCTCATTACTAACACCCCTTTCTAATGCTTCTGACTTCTCTGTCCCCTCCATGACCTGGGTCTCCATCAGTCAACCTCCTGACTACAGTGGCCCTGGCCCGTCTTGCTGCTAGGACCAGGAAGCCCTCCTACCACTATCTCCTGGCACTCACAGTTTCAGACATCGTCACGCAAGTGGTCATCGTGTTTGCGGGCTTCCTCCTGCAGGGAGCCGTGCTGGCCCGCCAGGTGCCCCAGGCTGTGGTGCGCACAGCTAACATCCTGGAGTTTGCGGCCAATCACGCGTCGGTCTGGATTGCAGTTTTGCTCACAGTGGATCGCTACAACGCCTTGTGCCGGCCCCTGCGCCACCGGGCTACCTCATCCCCAGGCAGGACGCACCGCGCCATTGCTGCTGTCTTTAGCACTGCCCTGCTGACTGGCATCCCGTTCTACTGGTGGCTGGATGTGTGGAGGGACGCAGACCCCCCCAGCACTATGGACAAACTCCTCAAGTGGGCTCACTGCCTCATCGTCTACTTCATCCCCTGCAACGTTTTCCTGGTCACCAATTCAGCCATCATCCTCCGGCTCCGGAAGAGGAGCCAGAAAGGGCTGCGTCCCTGGATGAGCAAGAGCACAGCCATCCTCCTGGGTGTCACCTCCCTCTTCGCTCTCCTTTGGGCACCGCGCATCTGTGTCATGCTGTACCACCTGTATGTGGCCCCCGTTCACCGGGACTGGAGGGTCCACCTGGCCTTGGACATAGCCAACATGGTGGCCATGCTCAACACAGCTATCAACTTCGGTCTCTATTGCTTCATCAGCAAGACTTTCAGAGTCACAGTCCGGCAAGTCATCCATGATGCCCACACGTCTTGCACCTTAAAGTCACAGCCAAAGGGCACGGTGATGGAACTTGTGTTGAAGTCTGTAGGGGGAGAACTGTAGAGAAAGAGGACCAGGCTAGATATCCTGGGGGCCTCAGGGCCACCGGCAAAGAGGCCTTTGCAATTGTTTTGTTTTGATTTTTCGAGACAGGGTTTCTCTGTGCAGCCCTGGCCGTCCTGAAACTCGCTCTGTAGACCAGTCTGGCCTCAAACTCAGAGATCCACCTGCCTCTGGCACCCAAGTGTTGAGATGAAAGACACGTGCTCCCACTGCTGGGAGCACCTTTGCAATTGTATCTGTCAAAAATTCTCCAAGTTTGCAATCTGGGGAAGAGGAAAAGGCTCCCCCTTTGGGTGACTCCGGGTAGAAGGAAAAAATTAGCTACCCTGTAGGTTAGTTTCATCCCAATTCCCACCTTCTAGGGAAAGGACCGGGCTCTGCTGGCCCACACATCAGAACAGCTGCTGGGGTACCCCCTTTGAAGGGGCCTTTTGCCTGGCACATACAGGGCAAACGTTAACGTGAGCCAAATGGATGAATGTAATGATGGATGGACGGACAGATGCACGTATTCATGTGAACCTGGCCTGCCTCCCACTCCCTAAAGTGATGGCCTCTTTGGCTTCTGGTGTTAAAGTTGGAGTCTGAAAAAGGAGGCTATGAGCAGAGACTCAAGGCCTTTTCTGGGTTGAGGGAGCCAATGATTTTGGCTGAGCAATGGGGGGGTGCCTAGATAAGAAATAAAGGTTCCCAGTGTCTTAACAAACATTGGGTGTCCCCAGGCCTAACCCATCCGGGAAGAATCGATCTGAAGTTGATTCTAGGTTTCTCTTGCACCAGCACCACAGTGGGTCTATGGGTCTTGCTTTGCCTTCATCACCCCCGGGTACGAGAAACTGGTGTGTGTGTGTGTGTGTGTGTGTGTGTGTGTGTGTGTAGGTGACTTCAACCCCTGAGCCTTGGAGAAAGGTATTTCTCCAGTATAAGAAGGGAGGCAGAGCAGTTGGCTGATGGGGCTGGAAAGTGTTCCCCACTCTCTGACCCCTGCTGGGCCATTCTTGTTGGCTCTGCCTCTCCCTCCCCCCTCCCCCTTCCCCTCCTCCTCCCACTTTCCCCTTCTGGGGCTCAGCAGAAAGGGCTGAGCAGATGGACAGCCCACCTGCTGCCGGCCTTGGGTAAACACATTAGGGGCCAGCTGGTGCCCTTTCTGCTTCCCAGGCAGGCTGAGTTGACCTCTCTCCTAGATAGGCTAAGCCCCACCTACCTTCACTGCCACTGTCTGGGTGATGCCAGCTAAGGAGCGGATGGAGGCCAGGTACACAGTTGGTGCAGAACAAATGCTCAGCCCCCCACCCTTCCTCTCTCACTTGTCAGGAGAGTAGGAGCCTTCAACCATGCGTGGGAAGAGGACAGCCAGAGTTGTCATCCCTGTCCCTCAGCCACCACGCTCAACCCCATTAAATTCGGAAAAAGCAAAAACGTTTCCAAGTGTGTCACAGACACGGCTTGAACTGAGAGGTGATGGTTTCCAGTCTCGATGTGGCTTTGGTGTACTGGAGACGGCTAGGCTGCCCCTCCAGGGCTTTTTGGGGGTGGCGTGGGGTGCTTCTGGCTACACCCTGTGAGAGCAGATGCGTGTGTGTTCTAGGCCAGCAGGTCTGGTTCTGAGACACACAGGATGCTGAGATGAGAAAGAGGCTAGGAGTCTGGGAACTGCCGGGGGCGGGCGTGCTCTGCCACCGTGGGCATTGGGCATCAGAGTCTCCGGTATGCATCCCCAGATGTGTGTGGGGCAGGTGGACGCATGGGTCTCTGTTACCTGCTGAGGGGAGAGGGTGCAGGAAACAAGGGAACCCCGGGAGGAATGGACGGCGTCTGTCTCAGCTCAGACCAGTCCATCCCCTACATGGGGTCTCTGAGGAGAAAGCAATAGTTGCCTTTGTGTTGGGGAAGTCCTGTGTATATGTCAATAAAGCACTGCTGGCCAATAGGAATCTAGATAGGTGGGGCTAGGAGTCCAGGAGGATTCTGGGAAGGAGAAACACAGAGTTCGAGATGTAACGCCATGGGGTAGGAGCCCGGAACTATTCTCCGGTAAGAGACATACTTAGATTAACAATTATGGGGTAATTACTTAAGTCAGAGCTAGCCAGTAAGAAACAAGCAAGGCCAACAGCTTCATAATTAATATAGCCTCCTGTGTGTTTATTTGGGGACTACAATGCGGCAGAGCCCAGGCGGCTGGCGGGGGATAAACCCAAGCAGCTAGCAAAGAAAAAGCTTCTCATTACACCTTTGCTGTTGAGCCAGATGGAATACTGGTGTCCTTTCTTCCTCCCCCATGGGGAAGCTGTGAAACGCCACAAGGGAGTACCAGGATCAGGGACAAGCAATTGTCTTCCTAGACAACAATGGCAACCACACCAGGGGGCTGGGCCAGCTACAGGAGGCTTCTTCCAAATGCAGAAAGAACTTCCAAATGTTCCCAGGGAGACCAGAGAAAGAAAATGCTCTCGCATGTCCCTGAGCACAGGAGAAACCAGGAATACCCCCTCCCTTCCCCCCTCCATGTCACCAATGACTGGAGAGGTACCGTTGAGGCAGATAGAGATCCGCACAGGTGGGGACTTGTGAGCCACCAGAAATGGAAGTGGAGACCCACTGGGTACCACGTCCAGACCCTGTCTAAAAATAAGTTTGTTTTTGTTTTTTTTTAAAGTGAGACCAAGGAGGTGGCTCAGTGGGTTAAGTGTATGGCGTCTTGCTTTGCCGGTGAACTTTCATGAACTTTCAGTGGTAGCCACATCCTAGGCGCGTGGCTTCAGGTGTTCAGACAGGACCCCTTATAAGGACTAGAGTTTGGATCTCCAGCACCCAGGTGAGAGGCAGGTAGGCCTGGCAGCCATCTGTGATCTGAACACACGGGAGATGGGAACAGGAACACCCCAGGGCAAGCCAGGCGGCTGTGCTCCAGGTTCAAGTAAGAGACTTCGTCAATACATGAGGTAGAGAGTGACTGAGGGGGGCACCCAATGTCACCCTCTAGCCTCTGTGTGCGTCCACACACGGGCACATGAATACACACAAGACTGCACATCACACGCAAAAGAATTAAAACACGGTTTTCAGAACACAGAGGAAATGCATTGGGTCACAACTTCTTTTTTTATATTTTATTTATTTATTTATTTATTGTGTATACAGTTTTCTGCCTGCATGCCAGCAGAGGGCACCAGATCTCATTCAAGATGATTGTGAGCCACTATGTGGTTGCTAGGAATTGAACTCAGGACCTCTAGGAAGAACAGTCAGTGCTCTTAACCGCTGAGCCATCTCTCCAGTCCCAAAATATCCCTGTAGAGTTGGTTACAGGTGGCAGTGAGCTGCCTGATATGGGTAATGGGGATCGAACTTGGATCCCTTGGAAGAGGAAATACGTGCTGCTCACCATTAAGCCGTCTTTTCCAACCCCGGGTCACAACTTCTAACACTTTTTGCAGACCGGCAGACAGAAGTGATGCAGGCAGGCAGACAGTGCAGTCTCAGGACTGGAGAGACTGGGACAGGAGTACGGGGAGTTCAAGGTCACCTTCAGCTACATAGGGAGCCTGAGGCCATCCTGGGCTATGTGAGACCCTACCTCAAAAAAAAAAAGTTTACCAATTAATCAGATACCATTCTGTTAAGTGTATCCTTGAAATGCAAACAACAAGTGCTATCGCGTATCTGCTCTCAGATGGGCATGTCGGTACACACCTGTAGCCCCAGTGCTTGAGAGACTGAGGCGAGAGGATCACGAGTTTGAGGCCAGCCTGGGTTATCCAGCAAAAACAAAACTAACAAACAAGGGTCTGGAGAAGACGGCTCAGTGGTTAAGAGCACTGGCTGTTCTTCCAGAGAGCCTGAGTTCAATTCCCAGCAACCACATGGTGGCTCACAACCACCTTGAGTGAGATTTGGTGCCCTCTGCTGGCAGGCAGGCAGAAGATTGTATACACAATAAATAAATAAAATATTTTTAAAAACTAACAAACAAATTAAACTCCCAAAATGATCTGTTCTTGTTTCTTTGTGCACTTCTGTTTAAGGATTTGGGGCGTGGGACAGGGGTGGGGTCGTTGAAATCAAAGTTCACCGTGTAACTGATGACTACCTGAACTTGGAGCGATTCTCTTGCCACAGTTGCCTGGGTACTGAGGACACCATGTGAGGCGCTATACCTTCCTTTAAGGATTTTCTTGTTGATAAACCCTCAAGTGGTTTTTAGAGGTGAAGAAGCCCTGTCCCTAACAGTTTGTTTGTCCTTCCCTGCCCCTCCACCCACCCACCCACCCACATTCCGGTAGAAACATCTTGACTGATCAGAATCCACTTCGGAGTGGTGCAGTCCTTCCTGGGGTCCTTGGCTTCCTAGTGACCATGAGTCAGTTAGTCCTGTTGACTATCACTTAGCCTCATTAGCTTTGGGGACAGTCACTTGTCTTGGTCTCCCATTTCTCCCCAGGTCTTCTTTTAGAAGGGTGATGCTTGAGATATGGTTTCTCTGTGGAGCCCTGGCAGTCAGGGAACTCAGGTTGGCCTGGAATTGAGGGATCTGCCTTGTCTCTGCCTCCTAAGTACTGGGATTAAAGGCATGGGCCACTACTCTCAGCAATTCCCAAGCCATATAGTTTTTGCTGGTTTGACTGGAAGTTGGCAGGAGAATGATTTTATGGACCCATGGAATTCATTTTCTAAGGCTGACATCACAAAGTTGGACAGTCTAGGGCTGGGACAACAGAAGTGGATTTTCCCACATCTCTGAAGTTCCTTGTCCTTTTGTTTTGTTCTTGAGACAGGCTGACCCCAAATCCATTGTGTAGTTGAGGATGACCTTTAAACCAGCCAGCATGCCCTCTAATTAGTTCCTATGAGCTCGTTCACCCTTAAGCACCCACACACACACCCTACTCCCACTGAAACTCCAGTCTGGAGCCTCAGGAATGGTAGGTAAGCATGCTGCCACTGAGCTACCCCCAGCCCTATTTCTGAACTGAGTCCCTTGGCTGTCCGGGCTGCTGATCTGAAATGGCCATGGGGCAGTGTTGGCATGGGAGTATCTTGGGACTCTAATCGTCCATTAGGTCTGTCCTGGGCTCCTTAAGAGAATCCTGCTGCCCAACGCCCCTGCTATCTCCTCCAGCAGGGGTCGCTGCAGGACTGTCTGGCTAACCGAGAATCCTGCTGCCAACGCCCCTGCTATCTCCTCCAGCAGGGGTCGCTGCAGGACTGTCTGGCTAACCCATCTGGCTCACTAGCCAGGGGCCAGGTCAACTAACTGGCTTTTATAAGGAAACCCTAGTGACTGCTTCAGGGCCCACAGCCAGCAGGGACTAAGTGGGTGGGAGAGTTCAGCTGTCCGCCTGTCTTTGTGTCCACCCAGAAGTCCCACCCCTCCTCCGCACCAGGTTGGCCAGCCTAGGGTCCCTGCACTTTTCTCACGGGCAACTATGGTGGTTTGTTGCATGAAGAATGGGCTTTCACGACCTCGTCACTGGACCACTCAGGATCCAGGCCGTCTTGCTGACCTCGGCAATGCTCGGCTCCCTTCCCACCATGGGCGAGTCTGGTCTGTCTGGGTCCAGTCTGGAGTCTCACTTGCTCCACAGGACCCTTACCCCTGCCCCCATGAGATTGGTTTCTGCCCTGGGCAGCGCTTGGGTATCTTGCCCTCCAAGGGAGTTTGAACCTGACAGGAAGGTGAGTCACGACACAGTGAGTCATGAGCAGAGGTGGGAAAAGGACTGGGCTCGCCACATCCCACACCCACCACTGTTGTTCCTAGAGATGCCCACAGACTCTCTGGTGGGACCCTTCCTCTTGCCCCAAAGCGGGAAAGAGTCTTTTACCCAGCCTATAACCTTGGGACTGGGGAGGCAGGGGCAAGAGAATCATGAGTTCGAGAACCACATGAGCTATAATGAGTTTGAAGCCAGCCTCAGCTATACACAAAGGCCCCTGACTCAGACAAAAGGTACGTAGCTAGACAGACAGACATATATCTAGAACTGGATGGAGATTTAGCTCAGTCTGGTAGGTAGAGTGCTTGTCTAATGTGCAAGAAGTCCTGGGTTTGATCCCCAGCACTGAAATAAACAAAAGAGCTGGAAAGATGGCTCAGAGGCTAAGAGCACTGGCTGGCCTTCCAGAGGTCCTGAGTTCAATTCCCAGCAACCACATGGTGGCTCACAACCATCCATAATGAGATCTGGTGCCCTCTTCTGCCATGCAAGGATACATGGAGGCAGAACATTGTATTCATAATAAATGACTCTTAAAAAGAAAAGAAAAGAAAGCAGGCTGAGCAAGCCACAGAGACCAGACCAGCAAGCAGCATTCCTCCAAGGCCTCAGCTTCAGCTCCTTGGGGCCCACGCCACGAGCAAATCCAATGTATCGGGCAAAAGCCTGGAGATTTATTTATTTAATTAAATTTTTTTTTTTTTTTGGATTTTTCGAGACAAGGTTTCTCTGTGGCTTTGGAGGCTGTCCTGGAACTCCCTTGGTAGTCCAGGCTGGTCTCGAACTTACAGAGATCCTCCTGCCTCTGCCTCCCGAGTGCTGGGATTAAAGGTGTGTGCCACCAATGCCCGGCAAGCCTGGAGATTTAAATGAAAGGCAAGGCGTCCAGCCGTTTTGCTATGAGAATGTGTGTGTGCCCCTATTGCAAGGAGAGAGCAGCCTTATGTACAGACTTACAGCACAGTGAGAAACCCCGGGTGTAGGAGTCCATGTTTTCCTCACACTAGATGTTGGTGTCAGTGGGGCAAGGCCCGGGCTGTCAGCCAGGACTAGAGAACAGGATGCACCTGTGGCTATCAGCTGACAATCCATGCACAGAGATGGGGGCGGGGACGGACTGGGACCCAACGCTCCAGGTTCCTGCCTTGACTTACCCCAGTGACTCAGTGATGAACTCTGACGCAGAAGAATCAGCCAAATAAACCCAAGTGGCTTTTGGTCATGGTGTTATCACAGCTAAGGAGAGCATGCTGGAGAGAAGAC